ATGGCAATTTTGATAAAAGCATTGCTGGGAAGATGTGAGGTCATACATGTATATAATTGAATAAGCAGATTAAAGAATATCACAATAGAATTGTACCACCTGACTATGGTATAAATTAATTCTGGATGAAATGATTGTCATTCTTTACTCTCAACTGTTTTCCTAAATTAGTTTGGTGACTACTAAAAAATACGTCTAAAAAATTGATTAAAACGTGATTAGGTGAGAAAATAATCTGTGAATGACTTTATCAGTGAATGGTCTTATCGAGATAAACATATTATACTATTTTCACATAGATCTTTGTTCTTTTACAGTGAGACAGATGTATTAAACATTAAAATGGCATTTGTTATTTTGGATGTACTTTTATATAATGTACTCTTGTCTATGTAGGCCATTTAGGTGTTTTCCTAAGCCTTATGGAAAATGTTACATTATAGATACAATGCAAAATATTAGTGACTCATATTCTGTATTATTTCGCAAATAATTTTCAAATTAGACAAAAGACAAATTAGAAAACTATATGTAAGTAACAATTTACATATTTCCTTTTTTAGATCATTAGAAATGTAAAACCAAACTAAAGCTTTTGGGTTTATCTATGAGAATTACTATATATTATAATAATTGATTACAATTATAATGGAGAGAAGGGCGGGGTTCAATGAACGCAAATTCATTAAGTTACGGAAAAACAAGTGTAAGGATATTATGAGTATGAAGGGCATTTATGTTTAGTTTTCATAGGGCGTGGTTTCAAACCCTACTTGGGGCTTGTTTTTTGTCAGAGTATGGGTTTCTGTTATCTTTGTTTAATGATTGCGAGATACTTGCATTTTTAATAAAACTTTTTTGAAGTAGAATGAGCGAAAATAAGTAGTTTTACAATGTAAAATGGTTATATTTCTAAATCCGGATGGTAAATCTCATTGAGTTATTTAGAATTATTATTAGATATAAAGCGATGCACCAATGATATCTGTCAAATCTGACCGGTTTTTTTTTTCTTTCTGAAAACACCCTTTTACATTTCATCAAAATTGAGACATACCTGCGTATTAATGCCATTTTTGTTTGTTAATATTTAAAAACTATGGTACTTTCTTGCTACTTCTACAGTAAGATAGAAATAAAATAAGAAAATGTATGCTTTATTTGATGAAAACATATTTTGTTTGTGTTTTATTTGTCCGTATTACTTATACGCGATATTAACTTAAATCAACGTTATTTTGCAAACTGACGGTAACCATTTGTTTGTTTAGGGAAAATCTCGAATTTGCTGAGGGCACACAAATATTAATGAAAATGTTCGTACCTTGTTAAGCATGTCTAAAAGTTGGTGCAAAAAGTACAAACTTACATGAAATAGAAATGGAAAAACAATGACCACAGAGTTTGCACCTAATCCCTACAGGAATATCTTGAGGCACGTGAAATCGTTAAGCCATTGGCGCAACACAACTAGATAACACGCATTACTGGATATAAACTTGATACGTATTTTATAGACTTATGAAAGAACATACAGTTAAATCTTCTTGTGTGGAATCAAATGGCCTTCACCTTGGAAATCTAGGTCCAGATGATTGTTCTGTCTCAGAAGAAGAGCATGACAATTTTTGCCAGAGGGTACTATCAAGCTAAACCTTTCTGTTATGTGTACAGAAGATTTCTGAAGATACGATCTCACAAGCGAAATAGAAACATAATTGAGCCGTGTCATGACAAAACCAAAATAATGGGTTTGCGACCAGCATCGATCCAGACCAGCCTGCGCATCCGCGCAGTCTGATCAGGATCCATGCTGTTCGCTTACAAACCCTATAACAAGTAGAGAAACTGATAGCGAACAGCATGGATCCTGATCAGACTGTGCGGATGCGCAGGCTGGTCTGGATCCATGCTGGTCGCAAACCCACTATGTTGGCTTTGTCGTGTCACGGCTCAATGATTGTTTCTGATATCATGCAAAAGTATCTTCAATCTTAAATCAAACACAATCTTCAGGATAAATTCGAAATATTTAGAATTAACAAGCTTGCGTACAAATGGGTTAGAATATATATTGTCTCGACAATATATTTTCATAAGAGGAATTTAATTAAAGGAAATGGAAACAACAATTATAATACGATCCTTACCATAATTCCTATATCAGTTCTAATTAATATCAGTGCTACAAAATTTATAACCAACAAAAATAAGCTAGAAATATAATTAAAAATAATAACATTAAAAACAATGCTGACGAAAAAAATATTATATCCATTAAAGTTGAAAATTGACAAAAACATATAAAAATTATTAAAGTTCTTGCTTGTTTAAATTTCGTGTGTTACATGTTTTAGATTTTTTTCTAATCTTCGCAGGAAAATAATTTTCTTTTCATTATTATTCTTCAATAATTCTTAATTCTTTCATTTTTTACACTGCAGCCTCATGGGTAGTCAATTAGTTTCTGATTTCCGTCTTTTAAGATCGTAGAAGCGTAGAATTAGAATCTCGATGTCGTCTAAAAGTTGTATACAAGTTTTTCCATATGAACCCGTTTTAGTTTATATTATTTCACACATTACATGTCCCTCACCATTCGCCGCCTTTATGTCCACTCAAGGTTTTTGTTGGGTGCCTTCTGGGTGCCCTACTTGGGTGTGTCGAAGGCTGCGTCCTGTGATCGTTACCTTTACCTTGTTGATCTTTATTCTTGTTTTTAACCTAAAAGTAAATCATATATCATATTCCATGGTTTGTAACAACAATATAAATTTACTGCTTTATTAAAGATTTAGAGTTAAACATAATTATCAATAAAATAGTGAAAAACAGAATCCCTAAAGAAAGCCCAATACGGCAAAATTGTAAAATGTTGCAGGCTCGGTTTGATTAAGCCTGTTCATGGACGGTATTGGAAAGTGCAAGTTACCGTCCACGCCCCCTAGCACCGGCTTAAGCAGAATTCAACATTTAAACACAAAAAACGGTGAATTTTGAACTTAGAAGCATCCGCAGATGTGTTCATACGGCGGTTATCATGGAACCTTCAATGTGACACATAAAGTATCATTCCATGAAAAGCGGCTGGGCCCCCAAGTAAAAGAACGCGTGTGCCCTAAACGAGAAAACAACGGGCGGAACTAAATAAAATGGAATTTTGAAAGGGGATCTGAGGTTATGAAGCTTGCATATCACAGACAAGACGTCAAAAGACAAATTTAAAAAGCAGGCAACATATCCGGTCCTAAGGGTGATTATACAGTATTCAAGTAGGAAAAATGGAACCACCCAAATTGAAAAAGGCCAAATACAAGAGACTAAAAAATAATATAATATAAATGTGAAACACAACTTGTAAGTACACAGTACTTTATTGTATGCTCTTATAATTTTATTTACTTTATAAAGCTGTTAGCCGATAAAAAGTATCACGCAGTAATTCAAAAGTTGCTTAGACCACACATAACCCATATTTGGTCTAGTCTTTTGCATTCAATTTACTGTCTGTTTAATCACTATCGTTAATACTTAAGTGCAATAGGGCTTACGGGACATCTTTAAATTTATTCATTTTTTCAGTTTTTGAGGATCAGTTGGACGACGTATCCCCGACAGGGCTTATATTTCATGCTGTAAGGCATATTATATTAAATGATACATAAATAGCATTGTCAAATAAAAAACACTCTGGATTTACTGTGTCAGGGGGACAGTCATTATCAATGAGATATGAAATATACGTACATTAGTAATTCAAGTTGTATGGTATAAAAAATTTCAACAAAGTACTTTCTAAACAAAAGAAAAATATTTCTCCTGTATTAACAGATTATTACAAGACATTTGTTATAAAATGATCTCTTTTTTAAATGTATACCCGGAATAAAATAAGATAGAACTTGAAATGATTTTGAATCGCCGTATTTGTTTTTCTATATTTAAACTCAAAACGAGAAAAAAAATACAGGAGATTTGTGGTTTGTTACAATTTGTAGAGTAACCATAGAATATGATGTGATATTCAAAGGCAAAATATCATATTGACCTCGGCATTTTGCTGGTGAATACCACCACATTATATTCTTTGGCTCACTAGTCAATAATTGTTTGTTATATGATCAGCCAAAGATTTAACACACACACACACACACACACACACACACACACACACACAAACAAGTAAAGCCTAATATTTATAATGTACTTATCATTGCGGTGTATTTTTTACCTTTTATAGTGGAATAAATATATTTTTTAATCGAAAAATATATGCCATAAAGAACAAAATGCAACAATTTTAAATAGTCTATGCTGTATGGTAATTGAATATGTGAAAATGCGTAAATGAGTGAATATTCATTTACGCATGCGCAGCTAAGTGTAGTATCGTATTCATTGGCTGAATTTTCCCTATCTAAAATATAATCAGACACAAATGCACGAGCAGTTAATTGTCTTTGCTCTATGGTCATTGAATATGAGCCTGATTTTATTTAAACCCTATTTCAGCCAGTAAATATGATACTACACCCAGTGGTTTGTTCTGTTGGCTACTGCTTTAACCAATGATATTGCAGCTTTTTTAGATCATATAATAAAGAATTATTTTTACCTCATTGCCAACGGAATTTTTTAAGTGGTCATTACTTTAAGAACAACAAAGATATAATGTATCTATACCAACAAAGTCAATCATATCAATTTATAAATAATTATTAAAACTATATGGAATGTATTTGTCTATTCATTGCAAAGATAAATTGCTTAAATGAAATGTTTCATTCAAGATCCAGATTCCATATTGGGTAATCTGATTTGAATTTAAAAATCGGAAAAATATTCTTTGATAGTGGAGATTCCTCACTATTGAAGCTCTGTAGTATTGTTCAGTCGGCAGTGTGAGTGTAAGCTGTCAATATGTATCGAAGAAATAATTTGTACAGGATTGCACACATTTAAAAGAAGAACTAAAACTTGTTACAATCTGATTGATAACAATGGAATTTTTACTTATTGAAAATAAATCAGAAAACGCTAATGTGTTGAGTAATTTTTCATTGATACAATCGAACTCAACTCATCATGAATATGATGACACTATAGAACCTCCAAGTTATATTGTTTTTACAGCTACAATTCTGTACTGTATGATATTTTTGGTTGGCGTTGTCGGTAATATTCTTGTGATAACTGTAATTATTTCAAGTCGTAAAATGAAAACAACAGTTAATAAATATTTGCTGAATTTGTGTATTGCTGACGTGATGGTCATACTTATATGTATGCCAACAGCTCTTGCGGATATTTTTACAAAAGAAGTTTGGTACTTTGGAGAATTTATGTGTAAGTAAATGGTTTAATCAACATACTAGATCCAAATGTGTCTTTTAGTTTTTTTAAAAAATGAATTCATATAAACATAAACATACTTAAGAATTTAGCAATAAAATTGTAATGTGTTTAATAAAAGGTAACAATTGTTATAGAATAACATCATTTTGTTTAAGTGTATTTCACTCTGTACCCTCTCTTTTATTTATATTTAAAGCAAATGTTTCAAGATTCATGTTAATTCTCATTAAAACTTTAAAATGTTTTAAAAAATGTTTTTAATTGAACAAAGAATTGCAAACGACACTTTTAAGTAACGTTAATAACAAATTTATTGTGCAAATTATGCAAAAGGCCCTTACAGCGTTAATCACACAATATAAATATGGTGATAAATACTGCAAAATCAGTCATTCATTACATGTAAAATAGTTCTTGAATTGTAAGTATTTAGTTATTACATAAAATCTAAGTCCATTTTTAAGGCACACAGTTTTAAAATCATTTCTACATGGTACCAGGAATACCAGATAGAAGCAGAGACAAGAAGTTCTCTTTACTTATTTTTTTTTCAAATGTACCAACGTATTTCATAACACTTTATCATATACTCATATAAACTGCTTAAATAACAATGTTGTATCGATGCCAGCTATGCTATTAAACACTGAATATTTTAGAAAACTAAATCACTCTTTCTGTTCCGTTATTGCTCCATTTATTTCTTTTTGTATTCCAAATAAAGAAAACTGTATCATTAATTTTCTCTAAACCTCGTTTATTTTCATTATATATAACTCATTAACATGTTTTATTTGATTTTTTTACATCTAATTCTATAATGTCGTACTGGGATTTAATTAAGTAGTCGCTTATCAATTAAGGCTGAAATATTCAATTATAAAATTTCATAGAAATATAACAACTACTAAATATCTTAACAATGATTTTATGAATAATTTTTATCTACTTATGACTATCATTGTTAATTCCTTAAAAAATGCTATAAACAGGCATACGCCTTTGGCGTGATTAAATTGCTATTTCAACATTTTTAATCAAATTCAGCGATTATATATTTTATGTCTTCAATTTCTGGTAGGTCGGCGCTAGGAATTGCCTTGCTATTAACAATGCCTTCAATTTGATACGTTAACATGCTGCAGCTATTACAACAACATTTGAACGAATCAAATTAAACCATAAAACTTTTGTCATTTCTTTTACGGAATTCTGACTATTAGAAACAGTTTGAGATAATTTTAGATGGCTGTTCTTTGTAGATTACCATATTTGAGCCGCGTCACGACAAAACCAACATAATGGGTTTGCGACAAGCATCTGCGCAGTCTGATCAGTATCCATGCTGTTTGCTATTAGTTTCTCTACTTGTTATAGGGTTTGTAAGCGAACAGTATGGATCCTGATCAGACTGCGCGGATGCGCAGGCTGGTCTGGATCCATGCTGGTCGCAAACCCATTATGTTGGTTTTGTCGTGATGCATCTCATTTATTTATTAAAACCATTTAGGTATATATCAACTGACTCATTTGATATGTTAAATTGATATGTAGAGCCCTTTGTACAGAGGAAGTTACTTTAACTTAAAAAATATCAAATTCGATTTAAATGCTGTTATAAATTATTTGTGGGGAACATTGTGCTAACTATACATTTAACACATGTATCAACAAAAAGCATTTATTTTAAGTAAGAAATTTTTTATTGGTATTAAAATGTAGTATAATATGCTCTTAAACTTATCTATTGATAAAACTGATAAAAAATAAAGATATGCTTAAGTGAAATAGTTGTGTTTATATGTTCATATATAAATATCTTGCATGTTTTATTCTACACTTTTTCATCAATGACTGATAAAATATTAAATATCGCTGAACCTTAAAGTAATGGATTTATTTTTTGTATAATCAAGAGGGTTTTAAAAAATCAAAATCTTGCTGAAGATTTAAAAAAAAATCAAGTGTTTTCCTTTTAAAAAATAAAAAAAGTGTTTTCAAAATATTCGGAATGGGCTACTAATGACTTTAAAAAAAAAGCCCTTTTAGACATTTTTAAATTCCCATTTCCAGGGAAAAAAAACTCCCCTAAATTTTCTTTTTGTGCTTTTATCGTTTTTTGGGAAAACGGATGATACTATTTAAAAAAATATCCTAGGAACAGATGGCTGATGGGTTTTTTGAGTAATTTAATACTATTAAGTCCCCTTTACAATTTTGTTTCTGCTTTTGTAAAGGGTTAAAAATTTATGTAGAACAGATGGTTTGATGTAGATTGTGGCTTAAACAAGGGTGGGATATTGTCTCCCCTTTTTTTTTAATTTTTTCATTTTAAAGATTTATCAATTTATCTAAAAATCGTTTGGGATTGGAGTACCGATCGATGGTGAAAAAGTCTGTATAATGCTGTATGCTGATGACGTTGTATTGCTGGCTGAATCCGCAGACGACCTTCAGTTATTATTATCTGCCTTAAGTAATTGGTGTTGTACAAATGACATGCAAGTTAATGCCAAACAAAAGCAATGTTGTCCATTTTAGACCAAATTCCGTAGTACGCGCAACGTACCAATTCAAGTGCGGTTCCAGTAAATTAGCATATGTTGATAGATATATCTATCTGGGGTGTTGCTTTTCATGAACATTTGGATCTTTTAGTAACTGTTAAAACTGTGGCCAGAGTGCAAGTCGAGCGTTAGGTTTGCTTATTGCAAAATCTAAAAGTTTAGGTAGTCTTCCATACAATGTTTTTTCACGAAACTATATGATACAATAGTTTGGCCTGTTAAGTTACTGTGCTCCTTTATGGGGGCATCGTGTATATTCATGTATTGACGCAATTTATAATAGGGCACAGCGATTCTTTCTTGGTGTTGGCAAGTACACACCAAATGTTGGGCTTGCTGGTGAAATGGGATGGAAGCCACCGATAGTCCGTCAAATGGAAATTTACTGCTTTGTATTGGTTAAAGTTAGCAAATATGGAAGAGTCTAGATTTACAAAACGTATTGCACTCTGGGCGTATAATAAAGCTAATTGTACATGTAAGAACTGGTTTTTCCATATAAAATCATTTTTAATTAAGAATAAATTTTTTGAAATGATATTTATCTCTACACAATCCCATTGCTAGAACGTTTGTACATATTGTTGAGTCTGTGTCTCTCAATAATTTATTAATGAATGGAAAACTAGCTTACACAATGATACTGGGCCGTCTGGCCGCGGTCGTAATAAGTTACGATTATATAAAACTATTAAGTCTGAGTATGAAAGCGAACAGTACTGTAAAATGATATTACCGCCTTCTCATCGGTCAGCATTTTGTAAGTTTAGATTAGGAGTTTGCGCCGATTCGTATGGAGACCGGCCGTTATGAGGGTCTGAGCCATAGAAGATAGAATTTGTCCTTTTTGTAACGATAATTCAGTTGAAAATGAATTACATGTTTTGTTCAGTTGTAAGGTTTATGATGATTTAAGAGTAGATTTTGTACTCTAGAGCAATAGAGCATGATAGTTTGTTCTCTGAAATGCAAGATTCTGATAAATATACTTACTTGTTTTCAATAAAGAGCCAAAAATGATAAGATATTGTTCCAAAACCTGTAAAAATATTTTAGATAGACGTCGTTTTTAAACTTTGTAAATAAAAACATTACAATAGATGTGGAATGTTTCACACATTTTTTTATTACCTTATATATTTTATTATTATGTCAGAAACCTCTTAAATGCATGTGTTCTATGTTGATATTCGTGCTTTTTTTATTATATGCTGCATAATATGTTTTACTAGAAATAATTGTTTTATGTCTTACTTGTATAGTATTTTAACTCCATGCTTAGTTTAGATAAACTGTTCGATTTTAATGTATTTCTCACGACCATCTCTTATAATTCCATATGAATGCATTGCATTTATTTATTTTGTTTTTAAATATATATGTATGTTTTATCATGTATATGCAATGATGAGATGTAAATAAAGATACTACTACTATTTACAAATCTTCTAGTTATGTTTTTGTGATAGTCGAGTAACATGTGCAAACTAACAACTTTTATTACTTTCGAATTGTACGTGTAAATGTAGAGTGTCGATATATATTTATTGTTTTTTTTATACAGTAAACAGTGCCATTTCTGGAGAATACTATCCCAATGCCTCAGTGTTAATATTTTGCAATCAGTTTAGAAAAATACCGGGTTGTCTGCTCCTCTTTAAGGTTAAGTATATGACAATATTTTAGTTTTAGTAATCTATCCTCAATCAAAAATCTAAAAAATTTTATCATGTTTTAACTTAATCGTTTGACGTTTTAGTGTTAACTTACTGAAAACAAAAGTTAAATTTTTTTTGCTTTATTTTAAACATTATGATTTCGTTGATTTAGACTCACTTGTCGCCTTTAACGTTTTACAAGTATCATAAAGGAAAACATTTTACATAATTATCAAATCATGACCATTTAGGTCAAAATTGGGGCCCGCCGAAGTCAATTTTTTTTAAATAGACGCTGAAAAAAATGCAGGACGAGGAATAGACATTTCTGTTAAAATTTATAGCAGAAAAACTTAAAATTGTTAAATCCGCACTATAGTCAACAATTGGTCCCAATAATCCATATTTCTTTATTTATAGACTAGATAGCGATCTAGGGCTATGATGGCCTCTTGATTCCACTTCACCAATTGTAATGCATGAGAAAAAAAAATATTGAAAAATAAAACGTAATTATCTTTTATACAATTTTAATGGATGGTGAACTGTTTTAACTGATTATGAATGCACTGCTTTTTTCTCCTTAGGGCGTTGGTGAGAATTCTGTTAAAGTGTGGAGGAGAATTTTAATTGTCTGGGCTATATCTATAGTGTCAAGTGTACCATGGTTATTTATTGCTGTTTTAAGACCGTCAGTATTTTATGACGGAACACCAATACAGGTGAGTCTTTTTGTTACGTAAAGTCAGAATTTTAAGCGATGTTGTACGTCATTATAGTATTAAAGTATAGAAATAACATATGATACTATTACTATTTCGACACATGGATATAGAAAAAATAAGCTTACAGAGTTTGTTTTTGTAGATGTGATTTTGATAATATAAAAGCATTGCTAAATAATATATTCTGAATTTCAGGTATGTCGAAATCCAATCGTCAAAAGCTGGCATAAGATGTACGTCGTTGGTCTTGCCATACTCTTCTTTTTACTTCCTTGCTTGATGATGCTGATCCTAAACTGCCATTTGTGTTGTGTGCTTAAATCAACTAGAAAGTTTGATGCTTTCATCCATGAAAATAGACGAGAAAGAAAACATAAACAACATCAAATACTGAATACAATAGCATCTCTTATATTGATTTTTTTCATCTGTCATTTACCTTTTCGCGTGGCAGTTTTGTGGTTCTCTTTTGAAGATAAAAATGTTCATTTGGAATCTTGGTCTCGAAAGTTTCTATTAATTTTATATTCTACAAGACTCATGTTTATACAAACCATGCACTGAATCCAGTTGTGTTACAATTTCGTGTCTTCAAAGTTTAGAAATGCCCTTCGGATTTTTTGCAGGACAGCTAGTCTAAGAAACTGTTTTGCTTTCAAGTCTCTGTACAAAAGACCATCCACTTTAGAAACATTTCGGAGTACGCGTTCTTTAACCAGCCAACGAAGTAACCGGTTGACATTGACAAATAAAATTGTTCTTGTACAATTAGACGAGGCAGGTGCACGCAACTATCCAAAAAGAGTTCGTGTTGAATACCCTTGTAATGGAAACACTGCAAACAAAGTGTTGGTAACAAAATATCTCAACACAGTAAATGGATCTTCATCATCATCTTCTTCAGATGATGGAATTAAAGTGAGAATTCATATAGAGGATCAAAGTGTCGATATAAAATTTAAACTTCAAAGAGTACCAAATACATAATTTTTGGAAATATATTTCATACTAAAAGCTCAATGAAACTTTATCATACTTAATTTAACTGGTTTCTGGTAGATTTGCCTCGGTTATTAAGATAGATAATTAAATAATACTAATAAGGATTGATTTGATTAAAAAATTTGATTGTGATCGGGAGTCATTTTTACCATATTTATGGTATGGTTATGTATAAGTTGATATATTATATCATACTTTTTACGAAAAATGTTACATACAATATGAGTAAATAAAGTAAATGTTTTGAACTTTATAAAAATTCACTGTCTAAACCCTTACTCTTTGTAGAAAAAGAAAGTTAAAGGCGTGTCCGAACTTCTAGCAAAGTATTCAATATTTATCAATCATTTATATATTTTAAATTGTTTAAATGTTCCTTTGAAATAAATGATATAGTTATATTTTACAAAGCAACCTCCTACACATGTAAAGTCAGTTTTAAGAGTACACATAATAGCGCCGAGTTACTTTATAATTTCATTTGATTGAATTAATGAATAACAATGAATCAATTTAAATGACTCATCAAATGAATAAAAGATAGTCATGCATTTTATAATGCTTTTTATTGATTGAGCTTTACACTTAAATTAGATTAAATTACATTGAAAACATGGTAGGAGCTACGCTTAGGACGACGTCAATTAAACTTAATTGAATAACCTTTATGACAATATGTAACCCACATTTGGACATTACCTTTAATCTTGCATTACTTGCATCTTATATAACATTCATAAAAATCTACACATTTAAAATTTTATTGAGAAAAGAGTTCATCGAGGTCGATTTAGCAGATGGATATATGAATTACCTGATAAGCCAAGAACAATACAAATTACATATTTATAGATGTATAAGGAGGGTTGTATGCAATAGCTATGTTTGTTATATTTCAGACAACCATATTTATTCTCGAAAAAATTGTACTGTATATATCAAGGTATAGATAATTTATGGTTTTAATTTTTTCAATATTGTATCAGGGGTAAATTGTTGGAGAAAAAAGTATATTTACACTTTTGTAAAAAGCTGTTGGCCGTTCTAGTGCAAACTCAGAATAATTTTGTGTAAGGAGAAGTAAAGAGAAAAAATTTGAAATGTAAAGAGATTATAAGTATTGTCCAGGCTGCAATTATTGAATGTCGCATTTTCTTGTCATATTTTGTACAGTTCTAACAAAACTTGAACAATTTAAAATGTTAAGTATGTCAGAATAGTTTATGATTTTTTTTGTACACATAGTAAGATACAAACAAACATTGGTAGACATGACTGTTAGAGATTGATTTAGTCATTTGGTTTAAATGATGCATGGCTAAAAGCCTATCAATATCAGTGTAGTTAAGCAAAGGGTAAATGATGCTTTCGTTTAAAATTAGTTCTCTGAATTGCACGACTCAATAAGAGTTCGGTCTTGTGTTTTATTTGTAAGGTAGCAAGCAACTCTTTCATTTTAGAAGGTAAATTTCACTTTATTTGTGAAATTAAATTAACTTCGAATAAGAAATACTATTTTTCATAAAAACTAAAAACATTTTTTCCTAACGCTGCAAAGATTTATATTCATATATACATTATTATTATTTTTGCTTGTTTTACATTTGCATATCCTTGTTGAAAGGATATCATCTGTCACTTTGCTAATACAATGAAATACAATGTATAACTATTTGAAATGCTTATTGTCGAAATGAAAATAATTCCTTTTGCGTATTTGTACTTGTACTAAATAATGTTACTCAAGTATACATGCACATGTTTGTTATATCGTTGTTATTTGCCATTTGACTGTATAATATGTATGTAGAGTTTATAAGAACAATGTACGTATGGGCATATTGCTCACATGTATTTTAAATTAAAGCCTTGAAACTCTTAAATATTGTAATTGTGCTGATATTGGTATTTTTTGTATCCGTCAACAAACAGTTTTTTAACAAATGAGACTTTTATATATCAAATATTGTATATTTTGTAGATGTAACAGAAGCCTTTACTTGATGTGTGCCCTCTTATTTCATAATGCTATCCTATACGTCACAGATTCAAACTAAATATTGATGTTAAGTGCACATTTCGTGACACATGCCATATATTGTTGCTAAAATTTGCCTCCAGAAACTAGTCAGAACGTAATTAAATCTAAATAAACATGTTTAAACCTCTTTAATTTACCTATCTATATGTGCAACATAGAGTTGAACAATTAATATGTTGTTTTGAAAGATGTGTGTGATAATAACGGATGAAAACAAACAAATATTTCGATAATATTATTATTTCATTATAAGGTATTTGTAAATCATGAGCAAGTTCGCTTTAGCATATAATAGAGTATTTTTTTCATATTTGGTATAAAACACAAATCAGCGAAATATATGAGCATGGTGAGCATCATCTAATAAAACGTAAAAAAACGTTATAAATGGTTAAATTTGGGGTGTAGCAAAATTGAATTTAAGAAACACGCACACAATGAACATCGTAATGATGAGACTATGATAGTATTATATTAAATATCGAACTTACGTAATTAAATCAGTCACATCTGGACTATGTCGTAATACGAACGAACGTATTAAATTCGGAACAGGAGGACGCAGACGTATTTGCAAATATTCCGAGGTTCGCAAGCGCACTGACGAAGTAACAATGCTCTTGATAAGTGAGTTCAAGAATCTATTATATTAGAAGTTTATATGCCGGAACAATCAGTTGTCTCAGCTAGTTGTCTCAGACTTCTATCATCAATCTATAATCTTGTTCAATTATGGTACTCTAAGGGATAATATACCTATATATTACGTCGAGACTGATTATTTTCCTTGAACTGTTGAAGACTAAACACATTCCCAAGCATGTTACAGTAGTTGATTCTTACGAAATCAGGATGTTTTTTGTACTTTTATTGATAATTGATGTGTTTCTTTATTTACATTTTGCAAAGTTTGATATGTGATATGTTTTCAGTCATCAACAATATTTGTAATTTGTTAAAAGGAATGTGATTTTTAAGTGAATAAATCCGCCTCTTACTGTCATTGTTTTTTGGCGGAATTAATTATTTTCTTCAAAGTAGAATTGGGCAAATCATAATTTCCAGGGTAGAATCAGGTGAGATAATACACATATCGTTTGTAAGATGCAATTTTGTAAATTTTGTAAAAGACAACTAAGAAATATTATTAAACAATAAATATTTTTTTTTCTTTGATGACATTATGAAATACAAGTGTAAATGGTTTCTATAAATAAATTTCTTTGACACTATTGAGTTATTTCAGCTATCAATACCACTCGTCATTGCTATCATTATACCAGCAATAATATAAATTGAACGAAAGAAATACATTTCCTGGATGAAACTTTTTTGTATAATGAAATGTTTTTTTTTTCTTAAATGAATATGCTTTGTGAGATAAACTTTTTGCTGAAATAAATATTTATTTAAAAGAATATGAAAGCTTTATAACAGCGCAAAACGTCCGTACCGCAAAACGTACGTGTGTTGACGTTATGTGGACGTTTTGCGGTGCATATCGTGTGTCTTCGCGTCGCATATCGTCCATATTTTCTGTATTGAAATCAATTAATTATAAACGTTACTTTTATTGGTTCTGTCACTTTCATATTGTTTCAGGTAAAGATATGACGAAATAAACATTAAAGTGCAATATTTTTGTGCTCCTACATAATTCTGACTTTTTTTATTTAAAAAAAAGAAATTTGCTTAAGACGAGGATGTTTTTCGAATAGATTTTTTATGGAATGGAACCAAGCAGCAGCAGCAGCAGAGATATGAAAACGATGATATTGAAATAAATGTAATCTTATAGACATACAGAAAAGGACGGCTATACGGACGGGCGAACCGGGGATTGGACTGAGTGAATGACAAAAAATATTAAAATTAAGCTTTGCTGTTGACAATAGCTTTTCAATAATTGCATCAAGAAGTGGGAATTATTTTTTGTGTGAAATGGTCATCAATATCCAAATATCTGTAAATGACAAAGATATGGTAATTTATGCAAAATTCAATAGTGACCTTGAGGTCAAGGTCATTTCAAGGTCAATATTATTGTTGAACTATTCAAGATGTTTGTCCTGTCATAAATGTATGAATGACATCTGATCATTGATAACAAAGAAATGGCAGTTTATAACAATTCAATATTTTGACGTTAAAGTATAAAAAAAAATTAAGATTGGAGAAGAAACGAAAGCACTAACAAGGTGAAATATAGTGCGTTTTTTGTTGTTGTTTTTTTTTTTTTTTTTTTTTTTTGGTTAGATTTAGCCTGTTGAGAGTTTATTGTCACAGATATCCTGTTGAAAATTGTCAAGATTGAAGAAGAAATGAAAGCGTTGGAGTGGTAACAATGTGAAATATAACAGATATTGTAATTCAAGGGCAGATAACTCTGGACATATTGCTTAGGGTATGTGGATGCTAGAGTGGTAACAAGCTGAATTTGGACGGTGAATTAAATTAACAAACAATAACACCTGATAATACATGTAACTGGTCAAAATTAACGAAAATTATATAAACTTTAAAATACGAACGTTATGCGGCAGGACCATGCCTTTTTGCCGCAAAATGTACGTCAGAAAATGAGGACGATATTCACCGCAAAACGTCCATATACGTACGTTTTGCGGTACGGACGTTTTGCGGTGTTACAAAGCTTTACTATTTGTTGTCGTGAAAAGTGCAAAACTGAAAGACGTTGTTTCTCTGTAATATTCTGTGTTAGTAAAACTTTTTCATCCGTGATGGACATGGTTTGTCATGGAAATGGGTTGTACGTCTTTTAATATCAAAGTTAAATACTTAGTCTACTAACGTTTTTTTTATTTTCTGTTGACAACTTAAATGTTAAAAAAGTGTTTCCATGTTGGTACATTTTGACAATTAAAAGTGACATTATGCTTTTTGTCTACTAGTAATTTGTAACTAATGGATATTTATGGGGTTT